CAATCAGACCATCACAACACAATGATGTTGTTCCACCAAATATCGAGGTGGACAACTCAGTGACTACCGGGCTCAAGGTGACTATGACTAACAAAGGAAAGCAGGTCCAAGTTCAGGGTGATGTCAAAGCTCGTGAAGGGGTTGAGGATGACTTCCAAGAAGAAGGAGGTGAATATGAAGATGACATGCTAGAAGATGAGCATCCCAATCCCAAATTCGATAGAGGCAACAAGGATGATGAAGGGGCTGCCCAAGGACCCCCTTTGACAATCCAGTTTGGAAGTTTGCCGCCAGTGGTGGTCACGAACTACATACTACCTATGGTCTTCCAATTCAATGAGGAAGAACGGGATATGTATGTTGAGGAAGAAGAGGAAGTAGAAGAAGCTGAAGATACAGACGGGTTCGTTGCTGAGTTAACCAAAGCATTTACTCGTTTGGAAGCAAGTGATGAGCCATGGGGTGTTAGGATGGCTCGATTGGGAAGTAGGATTGATCTAGCTGCTGAGGTGGTGAGACAGGGCAAGAGTTCTCAGAAACTTTTGAAAGAGCTCCATGAAGCAGGCCATAAGAGTGTTGGTTTATTTGTTGAAGATGATGGGAGATACCTTTTTTATGTGTTATACCAGGGCCCTGAAGCTTCATCGTCCTCACCCATCCAGAACCCTTCTTGGGGTTGGAAGTTTGATGGTGAGACTGAGGGTTCGGCAGCAAAGGAAGAAAGCTCGCCGAGAGAAGAGGAAGTCTTGCAAGTAGCCACCTTGAAAGGGAAAGAGGTCATGAAGGAGGAGAACACAAGTGATGAGTTAAGTCACTTAGTGGTTTTCAAGAAACCGGAGCCAAGTATGCTAAGGCATTTGAGGCCCCTCTATATCAAAGCTAGGTTGGATGGTATGCCGATGTCAAGAATTCTTGTTGACAATGGAGCTGCTGTCAATGTGATGCCCACTAGACTGCTAAGAAAATTGTGAAAGACTACAAGCGATTTGATTCCCACTGAGATCTTCGTTACTAACTTCAATGGGGGATCAACATCAGCTAGAGGGATACTACCAGTCTTGATTGGAGTTGGTAGTCAAGTGAAAATGTCTGCCTTTTTTGTGGTGGATGGGGCGATAAGCTACAATGCCTTGTTGGGAAGGGATTGGATCCATGCCAACAAGTGTGTCCCCTCCTCACTTCATTAGTGTTTGATGTTTTTGAATGAAGAAGGAATGGTGGAAGTAGTACAAGTAGACACCAACCTCTTTGCAGTTGTTGCCGACGTGGCCGAGGCTCCACTCCATCATGGAGACTTCGGGCCTCTAAAGTGAGGAGTATGGATGGAGGGTCGTGCACAGTGGTGATGTCAAGTGCTAAGATATTGAGCATGGCAATGCCAAAGTGACGGCCTTGTTGGAGAAGTTAGTCATCTATCAATGCGAGCAGAGGTTAGCTTGTGAGGAAGCGGTGTTGATGGCTGACTGTGTGCCTGAAGATGACTGGCCTGAAGAAGGCGAGGTACGGAGTATAGCTGGAGAAGACCAGAGGCCTATGACGTCACTTGATGTGTTGGAGGAGATCAATCTTGGCACCGAGGACGACCTACGTCCTACTTTCATCAGTTCCATGCTCCCCGGAGAACAACATGCTTTCCTTTTCCTCATCCTTGCTTTCATGTTTTTTCCTTTTCGTTCTAAAGCAGAAGTCAAACTGACTCTGCGTTCCCCGTTTTCTACTTCTATATATAGGAAACTCCTGAGCGAGTGTTTCTATCTCATCGTCTGGCCATCTCCTATCGTTCTGGGTAGCGAGTTCTGAATCTTGAATTTTCCAGCGACGGAGAGGCAGAGACCAGGCTTTAGATTCCAGGGTAAGGGTTTCAACTCTACTTATTTGGTGTTGTGTTCTGGATTAGCGGTTTAATACATATATGCATGGAAGATTTTTAACTGTTATTTTGTTTTTTGTTCATATGTCTATGCAGATGGCAGGTGAACAGAATGTGGAACCTGTTGCTGAAAATGTTGGTGGAATTGTCCAACCTGAACAAGCTGCTGCTGATGCAAATAATCGTGCTAATGGTAATGAGGAAGAACTGGCAGAGCAACCTAGGTTAACGTCTAATGTGTGGTCGCACTTCACTAGGGTGAGGATTAATGGGGTAATGAAGGCAAGGTGTAAGTACTGCCGAAAATCACTTGGTGGGGAAACAAGCAATGGAACTTTGCATTTGAGGAACCATCTCAAATCTTTGTATCCAGAAAAGGATACATGATGGTTCTTAGAAAATTCTTGGCCCCAACTATCGATCTACTGGTAATGCCCAACTCTCTGCTTAGTACAATTCTAATGTGTGTAGGAAGGAACTCTATTCCATGATTTTGGTGCATGAATACCCACTTAGTAGGGTTCAAACGGTTCTGTTGTTCGTTGCAACCTCAGTTCACAGTTCCTTGTAGAAACACTGTGAATAAGGACATAGTGTCTTTGTATGGGGTTCAAAGGGGCAAATATCAAAGCATTCTTGATGGTAACTTGGGTAGGATTTCGGAAAAAATCCAAAAATACCACTGTTTAAAAAACAAATTCCAAAAATACCACCCAACCCCAAAAAATTCCAAAAATACAACCCAACCCCAAAAAATTCCAAAAATACCACCCTTTTTCAAAAACTGCCACCCCACCCAACGGTTTGGTCGAAAACCGCTGGTCGGGGGCGCGGTTTTGGACCAAACCGCGGGCCTAGGGGGCGGTTATAAAAAAAAAAATTTGGACCAAACCGCTGGGTGGGGCGGCGGTTTGGCCCAAAACCGCCACCCCAACCAGCGGTTTGGTCCAAAATTTTTTTTTTTCCGACCAACTCCTAACTTCGGTCGAAACTTCAAACGAACGTAACTTTGCACTCGGGTATCCGATCGTAGTGATTTTTTTTTCATTTCGCATAACTTTTCAAGATCTACAACTTTTACAAGGATGAAATTTTCAAAACAGGAACTATTTGTGGATATACGGGACCTTGAGAATAACTTTACCTTTACTTTTCAGAAATCCATGTACATTTTGAAATTATGATTATATTAAACGTTGTAGATCTTGAAAATTTATGCGGAATAAAAAAAAAGTTCATAACATTCGGAGTTTGGAGCACAAAGTTATGGCCGCCCAAAGTTTGACGAAAGGCGAGACCCGCCGGTTTGCGGCTTGCAAGATCTCAAAAAGTTTGCGGCCTCCATTTTTTGAATCCGAATAATTTTTTGAGATCTTGCAAGTCTCAAACAGTCGGGTTCCGTCTTCGTCTCGAAAAAACGTCATTTGCCACCCCGACTGACCTTTTTTTTTATTTCGTCAAACTTTGGGCGGCCATAACTTTTTGCTCCAAAATCCGAATGTCATGAATTTTTTTTTATTCCGCATAACTTTTCAAGATCTACAACTTTTAATATAATCATAATTTCAAAATGTACATGGATTTCTGAAAAGTAAAGGTAAAGTTATTCTCAAGGTCCCGTATATCCACAAATAGTTCCTGTTTTGAAAATTTCATCCTTGTAAAAGTTGTAGATCTTGAAAAGTTATGCGAAATGAAAAAAAAATCACTACGATCGGATACCCGAGTGCAAAGTTACGTTCGTTTGAAGTTTCGACCGAAGTTAGGAGTTGGTCGGAAAAAAAAAAATTTTGGACCAAACCGCTGGTTGGGGTGGCGGTTTTGGGCCAAACCGCCGCCCCACCCAGCGGTTTGGTCCAAATTTTTTTTTTTTTATAACCGCCTCCTAGGCCCGCGGTTTGGTCCAAAACCGCGCCCCCGACAAGCGGTTTTCGACCAAACCGCTGGGTGGGGTGGCGGTTTTTGAAAAAGGGTGGTATTTTTGGAATTTTTTGGGGTTGAGTGGTATTTTTGGAATTTTTTTTTAAACAGTGGTACTTTTGGATTTTTTCCTAGGATTTCTGTGACAACTTATTTGTGGACTGCCTCAAATCAGAAAAGGGGGTATATTGCAGTAATAGGCCACTTTATTGATAACTCTTGGAAGCTTCATAACATGATGATGAGGTTTGTGTATGTTCCAACCCCTCACACAAGTGAGAGACTTGCTGATAGATTGTTTGATTCTATCTTGGATTGGAATATTGATGGTAAGTTGTCCTCAATCACATTGGACAACTGCTCCACCAATGATATTTCATCTGAAAAATAAGCTTGTGACCAGTGACATGTTGTTGGATGGTAAATTGGTTCATATGAGGTGTTCAGCTGATATTCTGAACTTGATTGTGAGGGATGGTTTGGATGAAATTCAGGAATCTATACATTTGATTAGGGAGAGTGTGGTTTACTGGAATTCTACACCTAAGAGGGTTCAAACCTTCTTCGAAACTGCTAAGCAACTGAAACTTTCTTGTGAGAAGAGCTAGTACTTGATTGCCCAACTAGATGGAATTCCACCTTTCATATGCTCTCTGTTGCTATTCCATATAAGGATGTTTTTTTTTTCCGTTTGAGCATGAGGGACAGTCAATACACATCAGTTCCTTCTAATGATCATTGGGAATTTTCATCTACTGTGATTGAGAAGCTGGCCATTTTCTCTTAGATTACTGTGTTGTTCTCTGGTTCCAAGTATCCTACTGCCAGTCTTTTTCCCCCTAAAGATTTGTGATCTTAGACTGAAACTGATTGAGTGGGGTAATGATCCCAATCCTGTGATTTTTGGGATGGCTAGTAACATGTCCATGAAGTTTGCTAAGTACTGTGATGATATCCACCTTGTTCTTGTTGTCTCAGTTGTTTTGGATCCAATGTTTAAGTTACATGATATTGAGTACTATGCTGCAAAGTTTGGCAATAATGATACTGATTTGGTGGCTGAGAATATCTAGCAAATTATCTGTGGTAAGCTGAGAAAAAATCTAGTTCTGGAACCTCTGTTGGTTCTGCATCTGTCTCGACCACCGAGCTTGAGTTTGAGCTGTTTGTAAGTCAAAGAAAAAAGAGTAAGAGTACTTTGATTACCACTGAGTTGGACCACTATCTTGCTGAGGATACTATTCCACGGACAACAGAGTTTGATCTTCTGTTGTGGTGGAAATTGAATGGGCTGAAGTATCCCACCTTGCAAGCAATTGCAAGGGACTTTTTGGCAATCCTAGTCACCTCTGAGGCTTCTGAGAGTGCTTTTAGTTCTGGTGGGAGGTTGATAGACCCTCACCGGAGCAGACTGCATTATTCAACTGTAGAAGCAATGATGTGCTCACGAAGCTGGATAATGGAAGACATGGAACGAGGTAAACTGCAACTATACCTCTCGATTTGATTACAACTGTATTTGCTTAAATGTTAACCTTATCCTCTTGTTTGTACAGATTCTGAGGCGGCTGTGGAGGCATTAGAGGGAGTATTCTCTACGATGTCCATTGAAGATAGTTCTGTTGAAGAGGCAGAACCTGGGGGTAAGACACTATGACTTTCTCTTAATCTTTCATAGTTCTGACTTTGTTCATTCGAGCATAATGACTAATGTATTTTGCTTTCCTTTTTCAGGTCCAGGAATGGTGTTCATGAGATCACCATTTGGACACGAAGACTGATTACTGGAGATTTCTTTGTTGTGGAGCCAAGGTATAAACTTCGATAAGTTATCTTCTAACATTAATACATTATGAGCTTTTGGAGACTTGCTGGCTATAAACTCATGTTTATACTTCAACTGAAGTTCTTAGTTCTTAGCTATGAACTCATTTTGCTTGGTGACTTGTTTCTGCAGACTTGTTGGCTGCTGCTTGTTGATCTCGACGATTGACTTTTTGAAGGATGAAAGCTCACTGTTGGTTGCTATTGGAAATTTGGAATGTTGCTGTTGTTGGACTCAGTAGTTGATAGGGGTTGCTGTTGCTTTTGGTTTTCATTTTGGACAACATTCTAGTTTCATTTTCCTTGATTTTGGATTCTAGTTGCTGCATTTCGACACTCATGTTGCTGCTTGGAATGGATTATGTTTGGTTTATTTTGTTTAGTTGTTGTGCTTGCTATTGCTGAGCTGCTGGCAGCCACAAAGCAGTCTGGTTTTGTTCATTTGAAACTATGAAACATGAATGAAGTTTGAAGTTTGTTTTCAATTTTTAAGTTTTATCATAAATTCTGTTTTTTAGCATTGTGTATCGGGTATTAACAATCTGGGGCACCCGGAAAACCACCCAATGATGGGGACGGTATCCAACTCTGACTCGTTACACTGGCGGGGACGGGCACGGGTAAACCCGCCTATTTTAGCAGGCGGGCATCGGATAGTGGCTACCCGCTCCCGATCCGCTCCGATGCCATCCCTAATGAGAGGCCATAACTTGAAGCTAAATCCACTTAAGTGTGCATTTGGTGTGCCTGCAGGTGACTTCTTAGGGTTCCTTGTGAGCCAACGTGGCATTGAGGTTGATAAGAGAAAAACCAAGGCCATCATTGAGGCCATGCCACCAAGTAATAAGAAAGAGCTTCAAAGGTTCCTCAGCCATGTTAACTACATTCGATCATCTCGAATTATGTTGGCCAAACCCAAGTCTTCTGTCCTTTGTTGAAGTTGAAGCAGGAAGATGAGTTTGTATGGCGTCAAGAGCATCAACAAGCCTTTGATGACATCAAGAAGTACCTGGCAACCCCGCCGGGACTCAACTCTCCAATTCCACATCGACCATTGAAGTTGTACCTTTCAGCCACTAACACCTCTGTAGCGTGTCTGTTGGCTAAAGATATTGACTCTGGCCATGAACACGTTGTGTACTACTTAAGTAGACTGTTAAATGAGGCATAACAAAAGTACTCCCTGTAGAGAAGTTATGTTTAGCCTTATATTTTTCTTGTATGAAGCTAAGGTACTACTTGATGCATGTTCAAGTGAAACTCATATGTAAGACTGATATAATAAAGTACATGTTGTCCCGGCCAATCATCCATGGAAGGATTAGTAAGTGGACACTTGCACTATCTGAGTTCAATTTGCAATATGTGCCTCAAAGGGCCATAAAGGGCCAATCATTGGCTGACTTCTTAGCTGACCACCCATGTGTGGATGTGCCAGCTGAGTTGGTAGAAATAGACATGGCGGAGGAGGCCCCTTGGACCTTATACTTTGACGGATCAAAGACACGATCTGCAGCGGGTGCTGGCGTGGTCCTCATTTCCCCATCAGGGCATGTCATGCACTTTGCCTTTACACTCGATCTCCCATGCACTAACAATCAAGCCGGGTATGAGGCTTTAATGGTGGGGCTGGAGATGCTTGTTGACTTGAAAGTCAAAAGTGTTAACATCCAAGGGGACTCCCAACTGGTAGTCTACCAAGTATTTGGTGAATTTCGATGCATCAATTGCATACTAGAGACATATCTTGATTATGTCTAAATATTAATTACTCACTTTGATAATGTCTCCATCAGGTATGTTCCTCGCCAGGACAATGGCAAGGCTAACTACTTAGCACAACTAGCCTCGGGGTTCAAAGAGTTTGCTCATGAAGGGGGAGAGCAAATTTTTGTGCGAAGGCTCAACCCATTGCATGAGAGATTGAAGCGAAGGGTAGATGTGTTTACAATTGAAGAGGAGGCCAGTGACTGGTGTGCCCCCTTGATGGCATACTTGATGAATCCAACAAGGGATGTGGATTGGGCCGTCAAATTCAAGGCAAGGAACTATGTCTTGTTAGATGAGGTCTTGTTCAAAAGGAGACCAGACGGTTTACTGTTGAAGTGCTTGGGGGGCAAGGAGGCCCCACAAGCCATGGGTGAGGTTCAGGAAGGGATATGTGGTGCTCATCAAGCAGGCCCTTCCATGAGATGGGTACTCCACTAGTATGGATACTACTGGCCATTCTTGGGAGAAGATTGTGCCGTTTTTGCTAAGGGGTGTGAGGCTTTTCAACGACATGGCCCCGTGCAAGGAGCTCCGACCATCGACTTGAAGTCTATCATCAAGTCTCGACCTTTCATTGGATGGGCCATGGACTTGATTGGGAAGATCTATCCACCATCTTCTGATAGACATACGTTTGTCATCTTGGCAAATGATTACTTCATCAATTGGGTGGAGGCCAAGCCAATGACAGTGGTTAATCAAAGCGAAATCATCAAGTTCATCAAAGAAAATATAATACACCGTTTTGGCATGCCAGCCACCATAACAGCTGACCAGGGTACCGTGTTCACGGGAGGGGAAGTGATGGCTTTTGTACCACATCAATTAACTACAAGAAATTCAATGGATTTATAAGGTCAACTCAATATTAATAATTAAAAGAGATGTCTAGGCCTTGATGGGTTGAGTTTTTGGGGCTAAGCGGTCAAACCCCTTCTTCTCTATACGATGGCCGACCCGTCTCCGGGGCACCCATAGCCGGACGATGCCTCCACCCCTTGGTATGAAATATGGCTCCCAAAAACAAAGTCTGAAAATAAGCCGACACAATGAGGTGCCAAACGACCGGGTACCAAGGCAGATACCAAATAGGAGGCCATCCAGAAACTAAGTCTGGAAACAAGGCGACACAACGGGATGCCAAACAACCAGGTACCAAGCCGGACGGGGTGCCAAACGACCGGGTAAGAAATTTGGCTAAGTATGGTAAACAAGGCGGCACAACAGACGACCGGTACCAAGGCGGGTACCAAAATATGAGGTCATCCAAAAACTAAGTATGGAAACAAGGCCACAAGGGGGTACCAAGCCAAGGGGTACCAAGCCGGCAAGACAGGGCTGGTACCCAAGTATGGAAATTGGCTAAGTATGGAATCCAATGACCAGGGGGCCATAATGGGTTGTACCGGCAAGGCAGTGCTTGGTATCAAAACATGAAAATCATGAATTTGGCTAAGTATAAAACCAAAGGGGTATCAAGCCGACAAGGCATGCTTGATACCAAAATGCATAGAATTTGGCTAAGTATAGAGCCAAAGAGGGTACCATGCCGACAAGGCGGGCTTGGTACCAAGATATGGAATTTGGCTAAGTATGGAGCAAAAGGGATATCAAGTCGGGCTTGGTAACCAAGCAAGGCAACAGGGCACCATGACCCAAGGGGGTATGAAGCCGACAAGACGGACTTGGTGGCCAGGCAATAGGGGGCCAAGTCAGGTACCAACTAAGAGAGTCATAAAGAAACTAAGTTTGGATATCAAGCAGACAAGACGGGTTTGATAGCCCGACATCAGGGCATCAAACCAACAAGACAAGAAATTTGACTAAGGCAAGGTAGCTAGCTGAGGTGGCCACCCAACTAGGTATCAAACAACCATGGATGAATCGCCAGGATGTCGAGTTGAGAGTGTCAATATGATGAGGACTCGTAGAGCACCTTGTGGGGCCATATGGAAACTAAATCCCAAGATGGGTTTGGTGGGCCCTAACGAGTACCAAGTCGGCAGGGTGCAAGGTACCAACTTGATAAGATTGCAGAAGCTAAGTATGGAGACCAAGCCGGCAGAACTGGCTTGGTAGCAAGAGTATCAAGCCAACAAGATTGGCTTGATACCAAGATGACAAGTTGGTGCCATGACAATCACTCTAAGACTAAGTGTGGAGACTTGGGGGGTAAAGTGCTAAATTCTCGTCCTGCCTAGGTGGGTCATATGGCCTAGCCATCAAGACGGTTCATCGAGGTGGCTAGCAAGACTAGGAGTATGGAGCCGTCAGGGCTGTCGAGGATGTGATCAAGACTTCATCATGGAGGCTAAGGCAAAGAGGCTCAACACCAACCCGGCCCGGCATCGAGACCATCAAGTACCCACCAGCCTCAAGGAGGGACAAGGGCCCCCAAGGCGAGGTTACCAACTAGTCACCAAGGCGGGACAAGGGACCCCGAGGCGGTTTGGAGCAAGAGGCCAGCTAGCAGTTACTACGGCGGTTACCAAGGCAGTTACACCCGGTGGCTATAAATAGGAGAAACGAAGATAGGAAAAAGGGTTCCACAACCAAAAATTTTACGCACAATGTCAAACTTTTATCCTTTCTCTGCAAATTAGCCATAGCCTTAGTTTTCGGAGCTCTCATTGAACCTCCATAGGAGCAGGAATAATTAACGTAGCTTATTCCCAAAAAATCATAAAAAACATCAAACACCCTCGTTCGAACATTGTTCGGAGAGGTGTGAACCGTGTTTAGAATCATTGTTTCAGAAGTCAAGGTGCATTTATAGGAATCAAACACTAGATTTTCCTCGTCGGAAAACAAATTGGCACACCTGGTGGGACCACTGTATGTTATATTTGATGGCTCCTAGGGGAAAGAATCAAGAAGGTGATCTTCCACAAGGTGCTGTGGAGGAGGAGCAAGTGGCCGGCGGTAAAGCAGGCCAAGTCGAAGGAGCTTCAGGCAACCTTGCTGGAGCGGAGGTGCCACTCACGTCGGCGCCATTAGACCATCTTTCTTCTTCGGCTGTTTAGTGGTTTCTTTCAAAAAAAAAAAATTGCAAGCCCATACTACATTATGAAAAAATGTGCTATGTGAATCACCACTTTTAATCCATAACTTTCTAGAGTTTTGTCTTCAAAATTGTTCATCGACTTTTTACAGTGTTAGAAGTTGGACCAAACACCCCGCCCCTTATTCTTGAGCTATCTACACTCTCATGAATATCTAAACAATGTAATATGTTAAGCTTCTTTAGCCTTTCCCGACTCACTTTAACTTGTAGTACAAGCAATACATTGTAATTCCTCTAACATCGCTATACCAACTCTGAGTCACTAGCTGCTGATAGCTAGGATGCAGCTTCCAAAAGGTAAAACACTTGAAAGATCGAGACAGATTTCGAAGTTGAGAGTGTGTGAATAAGAATTCCACAAGGATTTGACAACCCCAAGAGCAACACCTTTACTATACTTCTTGGGAGTCATTGAATTTACTACAAATTTACCATTGCATGATCCAATTTTGACAAAATACACTTGTATAGCCAAAACACTCGCGTTTGCGCAAATAATAGTCAAATTTGGGGAAATCCCACTTATAGCCAGCTTTTAAAGTTGTTGTATGTCAAATATAGTCATTTCCATTAGATACTTTAACAGTATTATTAACACCATCAACTTATTTGACAGTTCGCTGGCTAGACTTTTACTCAATGAACACGTCAGCGCCACATAAGTCGTCATAATTTATATTTATTTAATGATTACACATCATAAATAAATAAAAAATTTACTTTAATTTCCCCCAATTTCTTCATCACCCTGTCGCCTATCTTCTCCCATCCCAGATCTCCGATTTCCTAAAGCTTCCCAAAATCAAAACAAGCAATCAAAATCGACCTTTAGCTTCCCAAAATCAAAACAATCAATCAATCAAACACGTTAGTGCCACTTGCAGTCGGACCCAATTCACCACCACCGATTTAGATTTCCTGGCGATGACATTTTAGGGTCCTTGGTTTCTTGATCTGGGATCGACAAGTGCTCGACAGCGACAACAAGATCTGGATATTCTAAAGGTTGTGTCGATGGACCTCCAGTTTTGATTTCTCTGATACACTGGGGTTGTAGATACAGAGAGGAGGGACAGACGAAATCTGTCATTCCGCAGCAGGTCGCCGTTGAACTTAGCCGCTTCTCTTTCGTGTTTTTTCTTTCTTTTCACTAAACAAGGTGGTCACCCATAGCACCCGGATTAGATCTGGGAATGAGAAATTTTTGGAGATTTGGAATAGATCTGGAACAATTGCATTGCTGGCAGTGGTTGGAGATAGGGAACACGATGGAGATGAGCGACGATTGGGGACGAAAGGGATGGTCGCCGGTCAGGTGCAACGAGGATGCAAGCGGCGGCCAGTGCGGAAGCTAGTGGACAGGGAAGGGTTTGTGACAAGAAGAGGCAAAAGAAGAAGACGACGTCATCGACGAGACGGAGAGCTTCTGCTACTCCTCCAGAGCTTACGGGGAGCGAGAACGAGGAAGGGAAGCGGTTGCGGCGGGCCGAGGAGGGCAGCGGGAGGGCGAACCCGAGTACTGGACCGGCGCAAATCCTCTTCCCCAAATCCTCTGATTTCCAATTTGAGGGGTTTTTTACTTTTTTAATTCAATTCTGTAGAGAAGAAAAGGGGATTTAAGTTTTGTACTTCATTTTCAATTTGAGGGGTTTTTTTCTATTTTTGGTTAATTTTTTTCTAATTAATTATCATCCACGTGGACAATTACAGAGTAAAAGGGATATAAGAATTCGCCATGTAAGAATCTCCGTTTGTCGAGTCACACTCAACGCTAACACTATTAAAGAATTAGACGAAAATGGCTATAAGTGGTATTTCTCCAAATTTGACTACTATTGGCACAAACGCGAAAGTTTTGGTTGTACGTGTATTTTGGGGTGAAAATCACCATTGGTCACTATACTTAATTAATTTATGTTTACCACTAGACTCGTTTTCAATTCAACTAAACCACTAAACTCAATTTAAAACTCACTGTCCATCACTTTTGTTACAACTTAACGGAAGCCTTATTAACAGTGCTGACAAAGCACTAACGATGGTGACATGGCAACACCTATCCCTATTATTCCACATAAGCAGTTATATTCCTTAACCAAACTCTACCAAAAAAGAATCTGAAACCCTAATTGTTTGGGTTAATTAGAAATAGCGCCACCGCCGCAAATACAGGCGCCACCGCCCTAGACGCAGGCGCCTACGCCGCAGACAGAAGCGCCACCGCTGCAGACAGAGGCGCCACTGCCTGAGTCTACGGAGATGTCGTCCGACAAAGACGAAGCAGTCGCCGGCAGAGGCAGGGGGAGAGGCCGGCGAGGTCGTCGAGGCGCCGGCCATTTTCGTGGTGAGAGTCTCGCCGCCGGTGGGGTTTTTTTTGGCATTTCTTTTAATTAATATTTTTGTTGCTTTTGCATCTCCTAGGCTTATGAACCCTTATTCGATGAGACTACCATCCGCGACAATTGATCCAGCTCCGGTCGATCCTGTGCTTCTTTGGGGACGTGGCCAACATCGTATCGACTCAGTTTGGGCAAACGAGGTAAGTATTTTGATAATTATTCATGTAAAGTTAATTAGCTAGTTAGATTAGATTATTTTAGTTGGTGAAATTAACTGTACATAAATTAGAATAGAATTACGTATCAAATTGAAATTAGCTAGATTAGAATTTACTAGGTGAAATTAGAATTATTACGAATGAAATTGAATTAATATAAGTTTCATGCACTATAGGCTGGTGGTCGATCTTATCATGTTCGAGGTACGACCATGTTAGTCACGTACCATGAGCGTTATCAGCCATATTTTGGAGCGGCTGGTTTGTCTAGTGTTGTGTCCCTAGTCCCTATGAACTCTGATGCGAGTTTGATTACTGCGCTCGTAGAGCGGTGACGACCCGAGACGTCGACCTTACATTTACCGTTTGGTGAGGTCACGATCACGTAAGAGGATGTTGTGACACTGTCCGGTCTGGCGATCGACGGTGATGTCGTCGTAGTTGACATACTGGATGAGGATTGGCCGACGATCTATAGGAAGGATTCTAGATGATCTTTCAGGCAGAGTTGTTAGGATTGTTTGGCTGAGGGACGAATTCAGTCATCTGCCGGCAAATGCATCCCAGGAGGTTACAGATTAGTTTGCACGAGCTTATGCTCTATCTCTGATGGGAGGTGTACTGTTCCCGGATCGGTCTAGAGCAACAATACACCGACAGTACCTACTTGTGATTGAGGATTGGCAGAGAGATGGACGGTTTTCCTGGGGAGCAGCTGTTCTATCCTAGCTGTACCGTGAGATGGGTAGGTCGGCTTTGCACATTACGCATTCCTCCACCTCTCTAGGTGGTGACCTTGGTAGATGGGTCGCCCTACTGCAGCTCTGGGCGTGGGAGCGATTCCCACATCTGACACCGTGACATTCAGAGACGAGGGCGCAGATTGCCGAGGATGCATCCCCACGTGGTCTTTGATGGCTTCCATCCAGCTCTCGTCAGTATGGTGACCAGCTATTCCAGTACAAGTTGTTGTTTGACGAGATGGAAACAATGGTGGTTAGTATATAACATTTCATTTTATAGAATAGATTTAATTCGTTTGTTTTAGATTTAGGGATAATAACTTGACCAATTTTTTTGTGTAGTGGCAACCTTACGTTGAGAGAGCAGTTCATCTCAGAGGTACTGTGATACAGTCTGAGACATTTCGAGTAGTACTGCCACTGATCTGCTTTTCAGCGGTGATGTGGCACCATCCAGACTGCGTGCTCCGGCAGTTTGGCATGAGACAGCATGAGCCTCATCAGCCACATCCTGAGGCTGAGGTTGGGTTTTTTCTACGTCAGACTACTCGTGGGCCATCGCGTGGCCAACATTTGGTACACGCATCCGGAGAGTCGCTTGCTTTCTGGAACCGTCGACATGAGTTCGTAGCGACGGTTCCATACAGTGATGAGGTTTTAGCCTATTACTTGGAGCATATGGAGTGGTATCGAGATGTCACCAGACGTTCAGGCACACGAAGAGGAGCTGCAGTGGAGGCATTGGTTAGTTATTTTTTGTTTAATATTTTTTTGTATGTGTCTTGAATTTCTTAACTGTGTGAAATTTCTGACATTTCAATTTAAATTTTAGTACGACACTTTGGAGCATGCTGAGTTGAGTTTACGTGACGGAGTACGGACTAGAGGGAAGTCCACCGACTAGTGTGAGCAGTTGGCCAACATGATGGCATCAGGGGTTGCTACTTTAGGTTTGGAGCAGAGCAGACACCCTGATCTCACAGTACCTGTACAGCCAGCTTATGATCAGCCCATCATGGCTGCCTGGCCAGAGCGTACTGATCCAACACCGGACTGGGTCGTCCTGGAGCCACAGTTCAGATAGGAGCATAGGCCCCGTAGGCAGCGACGTGAGCATCGTGATGTATCTAACCCAGTCCGAATTTCATATCGACAGGGATCACAGCCCGTCCGGCCTACTATGACCTTCCAGTTTAATCCGTCGTTTTAGCCAGGCACGTATTCGGGACATTGGAGCGGCTCTACTTCTTCAGGATTTCAGGTAGGACCACATTCGGCCTTTCAGCCTCCTCCTCAGCCGCAGTTTCAGTCAGATCCTTCTTCGAGCTTTCAGCCTCCACCTTAGCTGCAGTTTCAGTCAGATTCTTCTTCGAGCTTCCATCCACTAGAGGATAGCTTCCATACACCGCAGCATGCTACGATGGGAGGCGAGTACATGACCTCAGGTGGTGATACTATAGTAGCCTCGTCTCCCAACCCATGGGACGCTCTAGAGGGTGATGCGACCTTTCAGGAGACGATGTGGAATTATGAGCAGCAACTTCAGTCTCAACAGCATGGTGGGGGTGTACATCAGGAGCAGATTCAGTCTCAGCAAGATGATATGTTCGATACACAGGATCAGGATGGTGGTGTCGAGGGAGATCAGCCCCAGGAGTATGATCGTAGGCCTCCACGTAATAGGGTGCTTGCGAGGTTTGGTACTGGCGGCCATCTCGTGGTGGAGCATGGTGGTCGTCGTGGTGGTCGTGGTGGTGGTCGTTAGTGAGACTATTATTTTTGTTATGTTATTACTATGTACTTCTTTGGGACTATTATGTGGACTATTTTTAACTTCATGTATTATGTTATTAACGATAAATACTCGGAACAACAGATAACAAACAACAACTCGGACATTTTATAATTTGGCCAACAACAACAAACTACGCATGGAAATACAACCACTACTTCAAACCATAACAACTATATGAAAAACAACAACAAATACATTTGATAAAAATTTGACCAAACTACATATCACGTCTATTACCACTACTTCCTCTTCCACCACCTCTCCCACGTCGTTGGCCAACACTTCCTCTTCGCTGGCTCCCACTCCCACTTGCTTGGCCGCACAAGTTGATGCATTATGGCCACTTTGGGTACAGTTGCTCCACACTGCTTGAGATACACCTTCTCTTGGCCAATCCATCTCGTTGTGAATTCTTGTAACTCGTGGCCTCCCCAACTTCCTAATCATGTGCACATTAGGATGGAGAATATGACCATTATGCTTCTTCCAACCCTTAGGTTAACCAAGAGGTGTGAAACGTGTCCCATAACAAGCCAACACTGTTTCCATCTTGTAGACATCGTTTACAAACCTATACGGATTAGCCCCCCATTCGGTTGGAAGCTGCAATGGAATGAGAGCAAGGAATTTTATTTCCTTGAAATTTCCCACATGTACAAAATCTTGCCCGGTTGCGGTCGTCAAAGTTCACTGTGAGTGTGTTTGACCCCGTCGTGTTGAAATTGTTAGGAGGAGTCTGAACTACATAGATGCCTTGACGTCGATCAATCGCTGTCACGGAATGTCCAACTGCCTTTTGTGACCACGGCTTTATCAGCTCTTCGCACTTGGTGGAGTACTGTGAAGGACCACTTCTAATTTCTGCTCCTGTCTTCAACCTCATCTTATCGAATTTCTCCACTAATCGCCAATAGGTATGTTGCACAAGAGAAGCTATAGGAAGTGAACGAATACTTTTGAAAACACCATTGATGCTCTCTGCCATGTTGGATGTCATGATAGACCATCGACGCCCACCATTATAGTTATCATGCACTAAGCTCCAACGAATTTGATGTTGGTCCACCCGTTATCACAAGAAATATTTCCATCAGTCGCCACCTTCTTAAATTGCTCAACTTGACAATCGAACTTCTCCAAGCATTTTTCTCAGGCTAACAAAGTAAATAACCACACGAGTTACATAAAATCATGAAAAAATTACATTAAAGTAAATAAAAAAAATTAAATGAAGAAGGCTTACCGACTCAAAATAGTTGCTTATACATGATTTTGCTTTTAGTCTTTCTTTTCAAGTTCCCAACCTCTTCTGATGTCACCCATGGCTTCATAGAGTCCCACATGTCTATCCGAGATGATGCAGATGTCATTTCGATCGGTCAAACCTTGAACGTGATTTATGAACCATGGCCAACTTTCAGTATTCTCGCTCTCCACGATGGCCAATGCTATTAGAAAAATCTTCTTCCGGCCATCAAATGAGCTCGCCATGAGTAGCACTCCTTTATACTTTCCAGTAAGAAATGTTCCATCAACAACCATGACTCCTGGAAAATTCTTGAATCCATCTATACAAGGTCCATAAGCCCAGAATACTCGCTGAAAGATCGAATGACCTGGTTGAGCTTAAGGAACTCTTACCCAATCAATCACTGATGTTGGCATTTTTCTCTTTACCACCCGCAAGAATGTTTGCAAATAATCGTAGGATTCTTCCCAATTTCCATGCAACTTCTCCAATGCACTTTGTTTCACATACCAAGCCTTCTTGTAAGTAACTTGCATATTAAACTTATCTTTCAACTCGGCCTGCACAGTTAGAACACTCAGATTTGGTTGGGCACGTACCAAATGTTTGACGGCCTCAGATATAATATCGACATCAAGATGGCGATGATCCCTCGGTTGAGTCGTACTGCTACAAGAATGCACTAACTCGGCCTTTCTCACAGTCCATTCACTTCCAACATCTCGACATCCAAACCGCACCATCCAAGGACAATTGTCATCCTTGTGCCTCAAGCATCTGACCTTCCAGATTGAAGATGACGACTCCACCACGCCATATTGAAAGTTGCGTTGTAGTGCGTGGTATTTAATCGCCACCTGTGCAGCTTGTTTCGAGTGAATATCTGCCCCTTGTAGAATTCTCCTTCAAAACTAGCAACAACATGCATTGGAATTATGCCATATGAATCAGCATATGATAATTCGTCGTCCTCTTCATTACCCTGCAAGTAAAAATATGGATGATAATTAGGTGCTCTCCTTCACCATCTTCCTCCTCCTCTTCCGCATCATCCTCCTCTCCGTCAACATCGTCATGATCGGATGGCATGCTCCATGTATCTTCTTCCTCTCCATCCCGATTCTCATTGAGCTTAGCATGTATCTCAGCACCCAAAGAATAAGGGTTTCGTGCCATAAAATCGAAAAAACACATTCAAACTATCATCATCCACAATAGGCATCGAATAATGAAATAAAACACCATTTTGCCATTCTGGAAGACGGTAAGTGAAACCTATGATAACATCACTATGTTGTAATACTTCGTCTCTACGCCGTATTCTCGGAATTAGATTCTCACAAAGTTTGTGATATGTCACTCTGGATGGAACCGTCAACTGAACACTACTACCACCAATGAATTTGACGCTAAAATTATCCTCTACTTTCTCCGATTTCCACCGAACGACTAGTTCAAATCTTCTAAAATCACTACTAAAAAACAAACTCACTAATTAACTAAAGAAAATCATAATAGCATTTGAATAATATAATTAAAAAAATAAATGTGTCTCTTACCTATTAGCCATTTTTGCAGCAGCAACCAGAGCTTCTCCTCCTCAAAATTCGTTGATTTTTTTGTGGTGAACAACTAAAACGAAATTCACTGGTTTTATAGGGGGGTAGCCAGCAATACGCCAGCGGACCCGCCAAAGTCCTGGGTGCCATCGCTAGGTACAATTTCCCACAACACAACCTCAGTCTCAGGCGATACTAAGGCAATCTTTGGCGCCGCCACTGTAAACTTTAATTAAATGATCCAAAAAAATAGAAATGGTGGCGGCGTCTGAGTCTTAGGTAGTCTCGCTGGTTTTGCTCTCCAAAACACAATATCTGTGTCAATACTTTTTAATCTGCCTTATTTGTGGTAAATTAAAAAAAACAATATTTATGTAATTAACCCAATATTTTCCCTATTATTCTATACCCCGCGGTCCATCTTCCCCAAAAGCTGCTGCTCATCTTTCCCAAAAGCCACGTTTGAGTTCTACTCTGCACCTGCAAGCCGCAATGCCGCCTAACAAACCAACAAAACGAAGCAATAGAGGGAATCTTGATTATGGTAATTACTTAGTGGAATTCTATTTTCTTATGATTTTGGTGTGGGGTACCGGAAGTCAGGAGAGCGCTGCTGAGGCCGGTGCCACAGCCTATGTATCTGTGAATATATTTGTTCACTTTCCATGGTACTGCCTAGTCTAGAAGATCGGGTTATTTATGTGGTATTGGAGGGGGTTCTGCTGCCTCTAGGGAGAAGTAGATAGAGAAAGAAACATAACAAAAAATGAAAGCGAATGGAGTTTTCCCATGGGGTGGGCCATATGGACCACTTTTAATCTTCTCTATGTCTCATTTTTTGTCTTCTTGCATATTTCTCTCTACTAAGAACAAGAAAAGGAGAAGCTAAAGATAGAAAGGTGTGTATGGGATTGAAAAA